ATTTACTTCATTATTCAAAGTTGATCCCTTTTCTCTCTGCACAGTGTGATGTGCATTAAATGATGCCAAATGATAATTCAATCATGTGACACTCAAGACAAATGCAATATAAGGAACCTTTTGGGGGTTTTGTCACAGTTTGCTTTACTGATTAGAGAGAAACCACAAAAGAAAGGAAAGAAAATCTATGACTTTTCACTTCAATATGAGTGATCAATAGATTCTAAGCAATTTCTTTTCAAATACAGTCTCCATCATGATGCAGATACTAATGGTTCCCATTATGAACTGAAAGGTAATCTCTTCAACCAACCAAAGTAACCTTACTTGTAAACAATATTTACTATTATTCTTTGTAACTGTTGAAATTTCAATTTAACTACTGATGCATCATTTTATATATATGTAATTTGTTTTATTTTAAAGGATTAAAAGAAAATGCAAAATTAGTAGATTTACACTTATTTTTTTTAATGGAAAAATGATTTTAAATTACACTAAATATTTTGATTTAAATTATTTTTTGTGGATAAGCAGAGAAAGTAGGAGGAGGAGGAGGAGGAGAAATCAGGTACTAAGTTTTACAATGAATGATTTTTTTTGTTTTTGTTTCAAGAAGTGTTTCCAGCAAAATTTTAAGGAATTGACATTAAAGATAGAAAATTGATGAGTTTAAGTTCTTGCTCTGTAACTCATTTGAGGTTTTCAAATATTTAACTCCCTTTTTAGCTGATTTTCTGTCTTATTTTTTTTTAAATACTAAATCCTTCTAAACCATGGATAAACAATGGTGGAAAGCAGAATCTAAGCAACATTTCACCAATTTTGAAATATATATTTATCAAGTTGTAGCTCTTGAATCAAAATATTTTAAGCATGAAATTAAGAGATGTGTACACATTCAAAACAATACCACATCAAATACCTTGCATTTAGATAACCTTTACAATGTCTATTTCATCAAAGTTTAACTGAATTACTATCAAAATATAATCAAGCCATTCCTAAAAGAAAAAAATAATGATATACGAATTGGGATTAATATGAAAATTTGAAGGATTAAATGATTTATTTAGATAATTTTTGTTAAATTGAAAAGCTGTCAAATAGAACGAAGTAAATGAAAATTCAGGAAAAATTTCCTCATTTGCACACTGAAAGTATTTATACTTGTGTGGGTTTTTATAACAAATACAACAAAAAATATTTTGCAAAAAATATCACTTATTAAAATTTATTTTGAATTTAATTTTAAATCAAGTAATCTTAATTCAATTGAATAAAGAGCTAAATATTTTATTTTGATAAGATATGAAAAAAAAAATCCCAGAAAAATAAATTGTAGTAAGAAATTCATTTTTCTGAGATTTTTGAAATAAAAATTTGTGCAGAGTAAATAAGAAATAATTTGATTTTGTTGAGAAATTAAAAATAATTGATTGTGATGAAGAAGATGAAAAGGTGAAGTGAGGGAAAAAAGATGGAGGAGTAGTGGAAAAGATAAAGAGGAGGCAGAGGAGGAGAAAAGATGAGGAGTATGGAGAGGAGGAGAAAAGATGAGAAGGATGTGGAGGAGGAGAAAAGATGAGAAGGATGTGGAGGAGGAGAAAAGATGAGAAGGATGTGGAGGAGGAGAAAAGATGAGGAGTATGGAGAGGGGGAGAAAAGAATAATAAACACAATAAATTGCCTGAATTTCATTAAAGTTATTAAGTCTAAAGATTATTAATTAATATTTATGACTGAAGTAAATGTTAAACTTTAATGCTGGCAAATTAAATCTAAATTAATTAGAAGACTTTGAGATTAAAGACAATAATCAATGAAAAATTATTTGTCAATAAACAATCAAAATGACCTAATGAAATAATTAAAAGTAATGAGAAACACATTAAGCAATAAAAACTGAAAATGTAAAATCTGAAGTAAGACCCCCAAGTTTTAGTTAATAAAAAATATAAATATCTCTCCAAAATGGATTTGGAAAAGAAATATTTTAAGAACGAATTGAGAGTTTAAAAAAAAAAATTTCAAAGTTTGACTTAAGTTTTGTTTGGCTAAATTCTTAATTGAGAAACTTGTAGTAAATTGTATCAGTCACTTGAAGGATTTGTCCTGACAAGAATAGAAAAATGTCATAAAACAGTCAGACATTCTAGTGAGCATCATTATTCATTAAAAGGTTAAATTAAATCCCTAAAATTCATTAAATGGCAAAAATTCCAAAATAAAAGAAAATTTAAAAACTATTCAAGAAGTTTCGAAAGAATTTTATCAGAGAAAAAATTAAACTTAATTCATGGGTTAAAACTTTCTTTTATTGGTTGAGGAATTAAAACGATATTGTGTCAATTATGAATATATTCAAAGGAGACCTCCAGTAAAGAATCAGCAGAAACAGGGGAGATAATCCAAAGAGATCAGCAGTTTTCTTGAGACAATATGGCAACAGCATGGACAACTTTGATTTAAATTATCAAAATTCAAAACAGCAAGTTTGAGAGACACTCAGAATGTCTTGTTTGACTTTCAGCAAATTTATAAGAAAATTTTATAAAATCAAAATATAAAGGAAAAAAAAATGAAAGAAAGCTGGAATGGTTATGGTGTATGAGCTTGTTTGATAAACAAAGATTTTTGGTTATTCGTACAAATGATATGATTTTCACCCATCTATCTTCTGCCCTGCTCACGAAAACAGGAGACTAAGAGTAGATTGGTGGAATAAAAAATAAAAAGATAAATAAAAATGGTTATGAGTAAGATTCAGGTTGAAAGAATTTGTGTTCATTGAAAAATTATAAAAACAAAAAAATAATTATAAATTAAAACACATTAAAAAGTAAGTGTTTTTCTTTGAAAGTTTATCATTTAAATTGTAAAAATTTGTAATCAGCAGAAACCATTGTATCAAGATGAGATTCTTTTTCATTAGAAAATTTTGTTCTTTGGCATCTGAAGTTCTTAGTTTTATTCATAACTGTCTTTTTCACATTTACTGAAATGATTTCATAAAATGTTAAATTTCCTTCAGTCCATTTTTGAAGAAGGTGCTAATCAAAAATCAATGACAAAAAAAAAACAAAAAAACAATCACACAATCATCACTTTATAAATAATTAACATCAATGGCATACAAATTTGGGAATGTTATTATTTATAAGAAAGAAATTGATAATCAAAAATAGAGTAAAACATTTGAGTAAAACTGGCTTCAGCAGACTCAAACCTACAAACAAGTCTTATCAGCGACATAACATTTGATTGAGAAACAAATGTTTTTTTTATATAGCAAACAATATTAACATTGCACCACTATAGTTACAAACATTAATGCAGTAATATGTATTAATACAGATTTATATATGTAATAAGTATAAAGTTATCTAAATGCTTAAAAATTACAAAAGAAATGTTGCTTTGCAAAATGTTAAGTGGTTAACAATAGCCAGAAATAAAACCTTATTTCAAAGGTAGATGGAAAAAAAAAAAGATTATCATGTCTTTTGCTTTTTATTTTGGGAATAAAATCTCCTGAGACAAGTGGATCTAATTCTAAATTACACTTCAATTAGAGTGAATAATTTTTAACTTATCAGAAAAAAAAAAAAAAAAAAAAAAAAAATTCACAATTTTGATAGTATTTTCTTAGTTTTATGTCAACTTATTTTAAAAGACAATTTAGACATAATGTATTTGAAAATAGAAATTTGTAAAAAAAAAAATAAAAAAATAAAATAAATTTTTTCTCATCTTGCAATACATGTACCTAATAATTAAAATACATAATTCATTAAAGTAGGTAATTAAAATATGTAATAAAGTATGAAATCTGAGTAACAAACTTTATGAACAACATAGCAACATTTTCTAGAAAAAAGTGTTAATATATTTTATAAAACTGATATATAGGCAGCAATTAAAAATCTGTTTCATTGAATAGATAGTTTCTCATTACCTACATTTCAAATGTATTTTTAATTTTAAATAGCTTTATCCATAGAAATATTTGTCTGATGTCATTTGACAATATAGAAAAGGATTTCGTAAAATGTATATATTTCTTTGTAACTATAATTCAAATCTAATGATATTTTGTATTTGTGATAATCACATTAAAAAAAAAAAAAAAAAACACAATCACCTTGATGCTCTACTACAGAAATATTCAAGATCTTACATCACAGTTACAAATGTTTGCATTTTGAAATCTGCAAGATTTATATATATATATATATATATATATATATATATAATGAGTTGTTTTTCCTCTGTTCATTTCAGCAGAAATAGAAATATTAAAAAATGGGGGAAAAGTAAGTGTAGCAATACATTATTTTATCTTTTAGCTTGCAACCACATGTCCAAAGAAATATAATAAAATAGGAATTGAAACATTCTTTGGCCACAATGTGTAAATGTCTTAAACTATTAAATGTTCACAACTTCATACTTAAGCTCGTGCGTGTTAAACCACATGGCAGTATAGTTATATGCAAAGCCACACTTATGAAGAAGACATGCATTGTTTCCAGCCATACAAACAGACATACAGGTGTAGACAGCGCTTTGTCTGTTTAAAGAGCAAAACTATTAAGAGGATTACTTCACTGACGATACATACACAAGCAGACACATTTAGAAACTCCATATTTCTGCAGAGAAAACCTGATTGGATGAATTTGCTGGAGTTGTGTGTATTTTTTGTGGTGAGGGAAAAGTGTGTTTTTTTTTCTTTTTTTTCAATTTTCCATTTCTTTTTAAAGAAAAAGCGACTCAACTGTAACAACCACAAAAACAGTACCAGGAGTGAAGTGGCCCCTGTACAAAATATATCCCTCCTGTCATTCATTACCAAACACTGGGTGACCCAGGCAACCAGGGTAAAAGTGAGAGCCAGCCGAAAGAGAAGGAGGAAATGGCAGGCCATATTTTCTAATCAACATAAACGCCATGAGATCACACAAAGTTCATGCAGCAACACAAGGAAGAGAATTTACTTGCAAACTCATCATCATCTTCCTCTTCATTGGCCTCAGCTGCCAGCTCTTCTTTGGTCTTCTTCTTTCGACCAACACGACCTTCATCCAGATCAGCTTCAGCTTCAGGTTCTTCTTTTACTTTCTTTTTTTTAGACCATACTGAAAGAAAAGAGATTAAACAGCATGGCTAGAAAGCAAGTATATCACAGTAGTGAGTGGAGGATAAAATGGAGGCAAGGTGCAAATTTCAAAAAGGGATCAATTACATATTAGATAAAATAAGTACATTTTGAATGTGTTAGAAAGGATAATTTTATAGCACACAATATACACATATGTACTTCCTCCACAGAATGTATCAGTTCTCAAAATGTTATACATCAAGTAATTATACGTTTTAGTTTCTGCATTTATATTCTAATATAAAGTTGTGAATGACATTTCCTTTTGAATCAGCAATAAAATATTGAAGATGTTTAATACATTTTATTAGAAATCATGAAATCCAATGATTATTTGGCTTTTAATTAATTAAATGAACCTCTGCCAAAATAAATGTTACTTAGAATGGGAGAGAGAAATATGTGAAGGTTAATGATCTGAAGTTCTCATACTGATGAGATTTATAAATGCTAATAACAAAGACAGAATAAATCGAAGGGTGATTGAGAGAGAAGAAATATTTAATGTGATATTTTACTTACAAGGAAAATAAGCTTTTCATATTAAAAAAATCTTTGATTAATAAGACACCTCACTAGAGGTTGATCTTAAAAAGCATTATAACATATCTATCCACATTTGATCTTACAATATAAAGAAATTGCAGAGAAATCTTGAAAGCAAAACATTTCATTAATAGATTACAAGAAGAAATTAAGTTGGAAAATTTCTATGACACTGATAACATTAACATTACTGACATCACTGACAATGACTTGTAAGATAATCAAAAGATTTCAAAAACATTATGAACTTTGGACAATTTCTCTATAAATTTGATCTGGGTGTGCAACAAATTAGATGCAAACTGGAAAAAAATAAACAGAACTTGTCAGTCAATTTTAATAAAACTTGTTTTGATAAATTCTTTGTTTCTCTGCACATAAATATTATACAATACAAATAATAAAATGAGTAAAAAAAAAAAAATTAAAATATTTGAATATGTGCATGAATTTTTGTAGCATCAGTTTTTTTTTTCTTTTTTCAAAATGATTCTGGGAATTGGACAGCAAAGGTAGAAATTCCAAAATGAAAGGAAGAGGTAAAGTTTAATGGAATAATATTCTGTTGTCACTTCCTAATTTTTTTAAAAACAACTGGAAGAAAAAAACTTAACCATCATTATTGTAAGACTGATTCACAATATAAACAGGTTTCAAAAGCAATCCAAACCTGTGTATGTCCTGCTAAGACAAGCTTAGTGCCTGACCTCACATAAATGGAGGCTGGGTGTTTGTACTTGGGTTCTCCACATTAAATAACTGACCTTGTGTCGTTTCCTCTCTCAGTGGGTAGACATGGGTAAATAGCTGTATTCTACAGCCCAGATGACTAAGACCAAAGTGGAGTATCTGTTCCAGCAGCAGCTGACTGCTTACCCAGAGTTCCCGGCCATCAGCAGCAACTCCAGCTAACCAGACATCACCATTTCCAGCTCTAGTCATCCTTGCTAATGATATACAATGAACTGTCCTTTTCAGGACAATGTGACCACAAAACTGTTCATCTCAGGACAACACTATTTCTTACCCTCTACATGAACTTGCCTAGTTCACACTATCATTATTTTTGTTTATGTATTTTTTCTTTAACAAAAATTAACTTGACAACATTTATTTTTACTCAAGTCTTTCATTTGTTGTTGTTTTCTGTCATTCGATATCTGTTTGCAGACCAATATACCTCACCCACAACAAAATCATTAGCTTAGCAGTGTGGAAGTAATGCCAGGTCACTTTAGCTGCTGGTTTGCTCTCTATTGTTGCCATGAGGGGAGATGATGAAGTTTAATATCAATCAATACAGAATTATTCAGTTTTAACTAAAAAGGCTTCATTTCTGCAACGAAACATCATTAAAACCTATAATGAAATCATACACAATGTGAAAGAAATGTGTCAAGTAACAACTTTAAATATTAGTAGAAAAGTCTGCAAAACTGTTTATAACATTTTTAGTTGAACTTTCATCATAATGATCTGCCCATAAATTCTAGATTTATTGGTGTTGTATCTGTTTTGTCAAACATTAAGAGATTTGTTCTGGCAGTGAAGTTCCTCATTTAACAAAATTGTGTTATTCACTGAGAGTTTATCTACAGAAACAAGTGAGAATGAAAGGAACAAAAAACCAATTTTTATTATTTTTTTTATCTGCAAGCAGATTAAAAATTATGAGTATAAAGATTATAAGATTTCACTTTCTGATAAAAACACACAATTGACAAGATTTTTAAAAATAGCAAATTAATCAATATTAAATTTTTATAAAGGAAATCATATTAGATTTTACAGAGGATAAAAAATAGTAAACTTTTAGTTTGGTTTATTCCGGATTTCTTTACTTGTGTGAAAACAAACACGTGCTTCATTCTCAGATTAAAGAACCAAGAATGAAATGAAACAAAATTTTTTTAAGATTACAAAAGTGAATCACGTCTTGAATTTTATTAGCAATTTCATAAGAAATATTTAGAAAATTATACGAACGGTTAATATTTTATGATCAATTGCAGATAATGCATTAGACATCAACTAGCAAGGTTACTAGGTGTTGTACAAATCAACAGAGTATGGTGGGGGGAGTGGAAAACTGAAACATCTCTTTTGTTGAATATTTTTTTTAAAATCAGTTTTAATATTACAGAAAAATTCAGTTACTTTACAGCAAGTTCCATGTGGATCAAATAATTTGTTATTTTTTCTTCAATTGTTTAATGAAAAATTAGGCTGGAAAGTGGTGAGGATTTTCAGCCATGTAAGTCTGATAATGTCAATCCTTCAGTTTCTTCATGTGGTCAAAGATTGTCTAAATAGAAATTCCTTGGCTTCAAATGTTGGGGAAGAAAGGCCATTACTGACAGACAATAAAAGAGATTTACTTCAATATCAAAAGAATGCACATTAATAGAAAAGATCTTTTTTTATATTTTGCTTTTATATGGTTAAAGGAAACCATTAACAATTTTATTCCTCTGTCGAACACAAGTATGACTTCACCCCCCCCCCAATCACGCCTCTGCTCATTGACATATGAAAATTTAGACTAGTTTTATTCTTCTATAAAAGACTAGACTGAATAAATTTCTTTTGCTTCAGCTGAGATTCTATTTGTTCCTAACAGAAAGAATGAAATTATCTTCAGATTGAATTTTACTCATTGTAGACTCGCCCGCTCCACCACTGCTAACATAGCTCCTGATGAATTACTCATTTACACATCTTGATTTTTTTTTTTTTATTTTGCTTCTTAGTCTGCATCAAATCCAAATTCACTTGAATTCTTGCCACCACAAGTGTGAGATTTTATGGATTTTGCTATTTAGAAAATTTAAATTTTGAAATCTTGGTTTTTATTTATCTCCAAGGTTTTAGAATTTCATTGGGTTTTCATGGCTTTTGGCTATCTTGCCAGAAACTGACATTCTTGTCAGTAGTGGATGAACTGACTTGCAGAGATTAATAGATTTGGGATGGATTTGAAAAATTTATAAATTCTAAAGATCAAAAACTGATTTATCTTTGATATACCAGCTAGAAATACAGTGATATTTGCAGACAGTAGAGTAATTGAGATTTGAGGAACCTGCAGGAATTAACATAAATTCATCAATATAAAAAAAAAAAAAAAAAAAAAAACAACTTGTGAATATATCAAAAGAAAATGATGCAAAAACAAAAAAATTAACTGTAAATTTATACAAAAAAATATCACTAAATCATATGGGATAAAAAAATCTAATTACAAAAATTAAAAAAAATAATATTAATCAAAACATAATTAAACTTTAAAAAAGGATAAAGAAAGAAATTATAATTTGCAAATGCAAAATTTAGTTGAAGGTCTCATTTTGAGTTCATGAAATTTTAGCTTTTTTATAGTTATCAATGGCTTTTAAGTAAAGTAGAATTGTTTTAGAATTGAAAAATCAGTATCAAAAACATGAAGAATCATCTAAATAAAACTGAATTAACATTAGTGGTTTTCCATAATAAAAATGAAGGGAAAAAGGAAGAGAGAAAAAAATAAACAAAAAAGAATGAAGTAAGAAACTAATTAATCTACTGAAATGAAATATGGAAGAACAAATGCAATAAAATAAACTTTTCTGCCTACTTGCTTTGATGACAGATACATAAAAAAAAATGTACCTTTTTATAATGCTGTTCCAATTTATAATTGCTTACCTTGAGGGCTTCACCCTCATTTACAATGCATCAGTAGTCAATATTATTACCAGTAATACCTGCATTTAGCCAATTCACTTTTCTTTGTTCAGCTGTGCTATTTTCTGTGCATGTGGTAAAATGGTACTAATAAAATTGTCATGATTAAAGCAGCCTGGCACTTTTAATTGAAAGCTGTGATCTAAATGCTAAGGTGGTTACCACATTCAGGACAGAAAATAGCTTCATTTGAGTAATTGAGAAATTTAATTATGAAAGCCACCAACAAAAAAAATCACTTATTTGTAAAGATCATAAAAAAGCCAAACTGGAAATCAATGACAAAATAAATTTAGTTTTAAGGCTGATATGCAAATTAGTTATCTTTATTATGCAAGAACTGCCAAGTTGAGCATGATATAAGACACACAAATAGTTATGATAAAACAGTTCTATTTGAGGTCAGTTTTATGTAATATTTACACACAAAGAATCAATTTTATATATTTAAGTTTTTAGCATTTCTAGTGGACATACATCTACAAAATTTGAGCTATAATAATATAAATAATATTTAAATAACATCACTATGTTAATGCATTTAATTCATATTAAAATTTGTTCTTCTCCCTCACAAAATGAATAAATCCTCAACAATCACAATGGGTAGAGTAACCAATTTCTTGTTGCTACCCAGAAAAAACAAATAAAAACACTGCTTATACGAATCTACTTCTAAATTTTCTTCATTATTCTGAGCAGATGCTTAAATATGGTTCATCAAGTTTTACCTCTCAACTCAATCATTTCAAATTGTAAACTCAATTTTTGATAGACAAAAATTCTCAGATTACATGAAACAATCTTTAAAAAATTATTTTTTTTTAGTCATTCTTTTTTATTATTAAAATATCTTCTGTTTCTCTTTATTAAAATTCTTTCATTAAGATCTGAAAATCCTTTATTATCAAGAATCAACGTTTTTTGCTTCAGACTTCTTTTCAATTTCTTTCCTGTAAATCCCCTTCAGAATAAGCTCTTAGTTCATAAGAGGAGAACACCCATGGGAAATTTATCATTCTTGGCTAAGAATCCAATTCATTCTTTGACTTATTTTGTGCTAGAGAGGATTTTAAATAGAGAAACTGACATTCCTACCTGCTTAACGACAAGAAACTTTATCAAACTTGACCATTTTTATTAGGAAATATGGTTCTAAAGTTTTAAAATTGCTTCCTAAAATTATTGATTTTCACTTATAGTCCACATTATACACTTTTTTGAATACAATTTTACCATTTGTCTTCAATTCTCAACTTTCCAAAATTCTTCACTTTTTCAAAACAAAATAAAAACAAGGTCTGATTATTATGCATCAAATTTGTTTTTGTCAGTTTCTATCAATGTAATTTTTCAAGGAGAACTACTGAAATAGTTTACAAATAATAAGACATGTTGAAATTTTGAAGGGAAAACTTGTCAATAAAATCCTTATTTAAAAAAAAAGTGGTCCATAACAAAAAGTTAAAGGAGGTTTTCAACATGAGTTTCAAGTTTTTAATATTTTCTTTTGTCTGGGGGCTAAGAGGGTTATTTTTTTAGTTACACAATGCAATTTTTTTCCTCTTCATTTGATCTTGTGCCAGTCTAAGTTAACCTTAGTAAACATTGAATAATTTATTTTATTGTTACTTGGTCTTTATTCGCAATTTTCATGCGGGTTTAAAAATGGGAAAAGATGCACAGAGATTGATAATTATCCCAAAAATAATTAGAATTTATGATACACCCAATAAGACTCTCAGATACCAGTTGATTAAAAAAATAATTCTTATGGATTCCTTAAATACAGCAGTTATTTGATTCCTTATACTGAACATTCAGTGTGGATGAAGGATCCAAATATTAACAATTTGATAAATGAATGAATAGGAAGAGGAAATTCAAAATGTTTTAAGTTCCTCCATTATTGAGAAGAAAAAAAAATTTTTCTTTACCTTATCTCGTATGCTCTGTCTCATTTCTTCTCTCTCTTCTTCCATTTTTCGGTGCTTCTCTTTACGTCTTTCTTCGGCTTCTCGTCTCGCTTCTTCAATGGCAGCAGCCTCCTCTTCAGCATTTTCATTTCCTTCCTTCTCTCCTTCATCCCCACCCATAGCTAGGAGAGAGAGAGAGAGAGAGAGAGAGAGAAAAAAGAAAGTCATGAATAGTTTTGTAAAGTATGTCATTTGATAAAAGAAATATTTGAAAAAATATAAAAAAAAAATGAAAAGAGAACAAAGATGTTTTTTTAAAAAAAAAAAAAATCTCTACCAAATTTGTTTAAAAAATAACGAAACATTGGTTGAGTAATGTGTTAAAAAAAAACAAAAAAAAACAGGCAATATTCTTGCACTTAATACTTTAAATTCTGCAAAATTTAAAATAAAATTTGAATAAATCTATAGCATAATTTAAATAAGAATGAATTTGGCTTTTTGACTAATCTGCTTTAATTAACATTCAACAAGTAAAAACTGTGTTCAACAGAATAACATCAGAGATTTCAATTTTATTTTAGAGAAAATATTCAAATTTAATTTTTATTCAAATTTAATTTTTATTCAAATTTAATTTTTATTCAAATTTTAGCTTAACATTTTTGTATTTAGTTACTTATGAAAAGTTATTTTTGTTCTTGAATTAGAAAAAAAATGTTAATAGGGCTGAAATGAAAGAGAAACAAATGCTAACATAAAATATTTACTAATTATCATATTTTGTGAATAGTCATGACATTGGAATTGGAATATGAGTGAGAAGCAGTTATTGGATTATCAGAACTGGAATTGGTAAAAAAAATATTTTGTCTGAAGTGTGGGAGTCAGTGGTAGCATAAATTGGACAGTTTGAGTTAAAAGGTTTTGTGTACAAATTCCACAGCACTGCTATTAATTTTTGTCCTACTAATACAATTACTGCTACTATTTGTCACTTTGGTTGAACAAAATGAAAAGTGAGACTCATCAAGAATTGTACAAAATGAACAATATTTGTCACCAAGATTGTTTATCTACAAAAATGCATTTTGGAGTTTAATAGTTAATGTGTAAATAAAATTAATTATACACACTAATTAAAAATTAAATATACACACAAAGATTTTGCTTATATAGTTAACCAATACATATAGAAATATTTTCTTATAGTTAGATATTTTGGTTGATAAATATTTGCAGGAATTAAGAAAATACACATCAATAAATAATTGTTCTCCTTTTATTTGCTATGAGTAACTTAGAAAAACAACTAAATTGGAGTAAGATAAGAATAAGAAGATTATGTTGTGTCAGCCACTCTTTAATATATATCCATTTGATACTTATCCAATTAGAGAAATGTGCTTGTAAAAGATGTTTTCCTGAGAGATATTTTAGGTTCTTCCTAATAAGATAGTGTCAAACTGCTTTTGTGAAAAAGAGCATGACCTTTTGTCAGACTTTATGGTAGCTTGCTATTCATAAACAGTTTTTCAAAAATTAGTTTATAATTTTAGAGTTCAGGTAATGGTTAGGATTCAAATGCGGAATATTGTAACATTTTTGTGATGTTTGTGCTAAATTTTCTTCCTTGTTCAGAAATGATTGTTTAGTATTCAGCATAGCAGTTTGTACACCATAAATTACAGACATTTCATATTTTTACCCATTCTGTACCTAACTGAATTAAGTCTAACTCCATAACTCTACATCCACAGCCACATTTTTTTTATTATAAAAATTGTTTTATTAAATAAAATTTAACTGAATTATGTCTTTAAAGCCATTATGAAAAAAAAATTTGACTCTTGAATTTTAATAAACCTTATAAGTGTAAAATGGATTTATCTTTGAAGAAAACTTTTAGAACATTTACAGAAGGATGCATTTTATGTACTGAATATGCAATAAATATGTAAATGTTTGCAAGATGCTGAGTGTGTGATAGTAGTGACTTGTTAGAAATGCCATGAAAATGCAAATATTCAATGAACACTGATGACAATAAGAAAGATTAAAAAAGAAAATGGCAATAGAACAAAGATTAGTGCAAATATGATTAATAAGTTATGGAGAAATAAATAAATAAAGCAGAAATAAAAAACACTGTAAAGGAAAATGGATGAAGATTTAAAAAGTAGTTTGCTGAGTTGTCTAATTGTTTGAAGTTTTGACCTATTAGAACACTGCAGAAAAATTATCAACCAATCAAATGTCTTTTGAGATAATTTATACAGTCAACAATAAGTTCGTTAAAGAAAAGTCCATAACTAAATGGTGCTACAATATGAGAAAGAGGGAGAGAGACTTTTTCAGATCCATTGTTAGATATGAAATTCTTGCCCAATTGGTAGTCCAAATGTGAGAATATTGTTCCATTCCACTTTCTCAGAAATCACTGAACCTTGATTTTTTGATCTTTTATTAAAGTCAACAGAACATGAATTGCTCTCAAGAAGATGATTGACTTTTATAAAACTTTAAAGTCACCAACACAATGTGTTTTCCTTGGAGGTATTTACATTCATCATAAACAATTAAATTTGTTTATTTTATGAACAACAGTGACATCAATTAAAATTTGTTGGCAACAAATAATTCATTTCCACATATTTTGGTAGATTTTAGTTTTCATATTTTTTAGCTTGCTTTTATATTAATCGATGGGAATCTATTATAAAGAATTGTAGGAGAGAAGCTGAATGTGTGGGTGGTGTAATGGGTAGGGGTTTGGAGTGAGAAATCAGAGCATCAAGATTGAATTCCAGTCAAATGTATGGCATTCACTTTTGCACAAATCCTTCAGCTATGGGTTAAGTAGTAGGATTGTATTTGTGAAAAATCATTGTAATCACTAAAGAATTGTTATAGTAATATTCAGTCACCAAAAATGAATTATTCTTACAGTCCTAAATATATTTTGGCTTTAAATAATCTATAAAGGGTTCATAAGCCATAAAAAAAGAAAAGTTAAGCAATTCACGAGGGGATGAAATTTTTCTTGTTATTCAAATATAATCTGCCTTACTTGATCTTGTGTCTTCCCTTTGGATTATAGTTTTATGCCTTCATTTTTCTTCTGAGATAGTCTTATACTGTGCACATGCCATATTTGGTTACATTTTATTTGGTTGAAAATCTTGATGTGGTGGCTGCATAGAATAACTTATTCCTGGAACCTGATCTGATCTTGTTTAGTTGGCTAGTTCTTTTTATCTAGTCATACAATGTAAATGGGGATTCAAGTTAAAATCTAGCTAGTGGACATTGTTTTGGAGTATATTGATACTTAGAACCTAATCTCTAAAAATAAGATCAGAACAAACAAGGAATTCATTTTTTCTTCTTTCTTCTCCAAGGTGAATTTTGTAGAAAGTTTTATAAAGTTCATATTGCTTAATACCATTTTGTTGGTGCAACTGCAGTAGAAAAGTGTCCTTGAGAAATCTGAAGCCATAGTTGGCTTTAGTGATAAGAGTTCTTATGACTAATCAGGCAAAACTCTGTAGCCAAATTATATAAAAGTATTGATTTCTCACTCTACAAGCACAAATATAACATATAGATATTTTAAGTGTATGATAACCACATATATTTGCATAATGGTTGTTTTAGCAAATGCCCAGTTGATTTGTCTCTTGCTTCAAGCATCATGGCATACCACTGACCCTAACCGCTTTTAGTGCAGTGTTAAAAGGTTCCTAGGAGTTAGGTTTCTGTATTTATATTGTTGGTTTTTACCACCAATTGTCCCAAGGGTTTTATTCTGTTACAAATTGAATTGTATTTGTTTTTCTTTAGTTTTTGAGGACTCCATAAGATGGAAGTGCTGCATATCATGGGAATATATATATTTCATTTCCTCAGGAGGATCTACATTCTATAAAAGTGTCCATTTCTTTTGACTGATCTTCAAGGGAGTGCGATTGTTTTTGTTTTCAGATTTGTGTTTCTTTGTAAATGCTGAAAACAATCACATAGCTTTATTATATATAAAAGAGAATTCTTTTTAAAAAACAGTTTCTTTATGGCTAATGATAAAATTGTCAAGGCCATGAAGAACTTGTTTTTAACCCTCAAGTTAGTGCAGTAGAAAATGTTTTTTTTGTTTTCTAACTCAAAGAAATGACAAGTGAGGAGGAGTTCTCTTAACACCTGGAACAACCACCCCCCCACTGTTTCTTTAGTATCATGAAGTTCATGTCATTGGTCAAGCAATACACATGGGGAAAAGTTGGGTTGCTAATTTTGATCTTCCTGAACTGAAGATCACAGAAAGAAAGAAAAACAATTCCTGTCTTTGTAGTTGAAAAATAACATGAAATAATCAAGTCTAAAAAAGATCATCTGATAAGAATCCAGCAGAACTTGGGTTTGAAGGTTCAATAGTTTCTATAAAAAAAAAATATGGTCTTTCCCATGTGGTGAAGATTGTCTTGCTCTGATGAAACAAAAACTCCTGTACACAAAAGAGAGTATATTATTATTTGATTATTGGTTTCAGTGGCTGCCCAAGGTTACCATATATGAGGTTTCTAGTTACATGTTTCGAACTAATTAGGCCATGTATTGCCTTCAGTTTATCTTCATGATTGATTGGAAAGTATTCAATCCCAATTGTTTGCTCTTACTCAAGAAAGAAGTCCTCTGAGAAACTCTTCATTGAAATTCTTTTCTTTCCATGAAAAAGAAGGCTATAATAGGCATATCCACACATCAGGAAGAAGAAAAAAAAACTGACAAGAGGCAAAGATACTGATTTGTCATCTCTCGCTGGACATCTCCAATACACAAAAAGGTTGTAACAAACTCAGTTGGAAAAAAAAAAGATAGAGGAAGTTCTAGATAGTAGATCATTAGTCCTTACAAAGTTCCTATTTCTACAATACAAACCGTTCCAGAAAAGAGACTCTGCAGTCATATGCAGACAGAGTTAATATCAGCTGAACATAATATCAACAAATCCCTGCTTATTTTTTCTTCTTTAAAAAAAAAAAATAAAAAAAATAAAAATAAAATAAAAACATTAAAAACCAAATCAGCAGAGGTGATTGTCTCCACTATTACCCATTCTTCCTCCAGAAGAACTATTACTACAATTTCAAAATCTTCTCTAGGTAGTTAGAGTTTGATTTAAAACAATGTCTGTTGAGGAAAATCAATAGGACTACAGAATGTTACGGATTCAACAATATACTTCAGAGTTACATTTTATAAAGCAGATGTGCACACAAAGTGACAATAATAGCAAAGATACCAATATTTGAATGTTCCCATTATGTCTAGAGTAAGGCCAGTCAGCCATTACTTCTATTCATTTATGTATGAGCTTAGCCTGTTATACTTTCTATCACATCATCTATCTTCATATGTTGTTTGAATCTATTCACAATTTCTTCAAGAGAAACAACAATAAATTGCTCAGGTATTTCATTGTAATTTGAAGTTCATTGTTAAGCAATATATTTTCTAAGGTATTTGAAAGTTGACATAATGAATTTTTGGCTATGCCCTATTCAGTTTTACAATTATGAAGCTTGTCATTTTTTCTATCATAGTAATTTATATAATAATTAAAAAACATGATTAGCATAAGAATATGATATCCTGATTGAGTTAAAAATATGAAGTCTGGATGATCTTTTTCAATTTAGTTGATAAACACTTAAATCTTAACTTCACAAAATAACAGATATCCTTTCAAAGTCAGTTATTATTGCATGATTACTTGGTGAAAAACAAAAATTGTTGAAGGTTTATGTTATTTGCCATAATTCTAATCCTTCATGTGACTGTAGAAATAAAATTTTGAAGACGAATATTTTATACAGAATATGATATACCAAGTAACTGTGAAGGTAGATGATAGGCTTGATATGGGGTACATTGAAGGAACCAAGAGATTGTTGACATTTTTCAATCAATAGATAATTCTTGGAGAGGAAGTGTTATGAAAACAGCACAACACTGTTGAAATATATATGTGAACAGTATGCCAAATGTGTATAAATATCTGAAGTGAAGTAGAAATTTGGTAAAAAGGTGTTTGTTCATACAGAAGGTTTAAAAAGTAATTTGTGTTTGAGAATAAATTTAATATTGCATTCCTTAACAGATCATTGTTGAATAGAAATTTACAAGAGCCACATTTCTGAATTCTTGAAATCTTTAAATTCATGATAAAAACAGATAGAAACACCAAGAAATTTATTCTTGATCCTATCTGTTACCACTTCACAAGAATAAACTGAGAAAAAGAGTCAAGTAATACAGTCCCTTAGAATAACACTTGAGTAGCAATAACGTCATGATCTACACAAAAAAAGAGAACATCAAGTAAGATTCTGTAGCCACAAATGACTTCCTAAAATACTGAAGTCTTCTTCAGCAAAGAATATAAAACCAAAAGTGAATGGACAGAGTCAGAAGATTATGTTAAAATATTAAATTTTTATTAGTTACAATATTTGAAAAGGTGTTTATTTCAAAAAGTTTTCTCTTTTTGTATTGATAAACAGTTTTTGAAATCTCTTTGAATTAGCATCTTCAACATAATTTCTTGTGGGTCAGATGAAAACAAGATGAAAAATCTTTGAGAATATCTAATAGAATGTTTTTTTAAGTTGCTGACAAGAGGGTTAAGTGTGACTGTCATGGGAAAAAGAGAAGAAAATGAGTGAAACAAAAAATAAAAGACAAAACAATAATAAATTAACTGGAATTTATTTTGTAATTATCAAATGAATGATGAACTTGTAAAAAACTGAATTTGCAAGGTGAAGAACTGCAAAGTTTCTGAGGAGACCTACCTCCCTGAATGTTCCAAAAATATCTCCCAAGTTTCATATGTGGAGTTATCTGTTAGTTTGGTGTTTATCCAGACTTCAAAATCTATTGGTTTTCTATCAAGTCTAATTCTATAATCACTTTACCATAAGTTATTCTTCACAGCATCCTGTCTTTTGAGGATTGCAGTAAAACATTCTAATTTCCAACACCAATTTATCTTTTTGGTACTTGTTCTGTTCTCAGAAAAAAAATGTTAAGTATCTAACAAACTGTTTTGCTCAGTTTCAGTGGGGTTCCGAGATAAAATGGTTGTATCAAATATAAAGAGGGACTTCTTATATGTAATGAAATACAGTGTAGATCTCTCAGAATATTGAAATGAGGGGAGTGTAGAAGTTTAGAAAAGAAATAACAAAATTTCATCCATTAAATAAATGTTGCAAAATTATACTGCCTAAACGGAGTTTAGAATGAAAGAGTGACTTTGATGTATTTTCAATTTTGGCAAACACAGGATTTGACGATCTTCCATTTATTGGATGAGGGTTCAACTGAATTACTGAAGAGGAGATGAATAAGAAAGTGATTGATTTTCATTGGTTGATGCATATGGGAATGAAAAGAGCATCATGCAAGAAATTTTCATCTTATTTGATAATGAAGAGAGGAATGACAAAGTAATTGTCTTATGAATTGATTGTCATTGTTCAACACATTTGGTGATGAGAAAAAAAACATTGTAAGGATATTTTACTATGGATTGATAGTCATTGAGTTTTGTAGAGGAAGCATTATTAAGGAAGTAATTACAAACTTTTAAGGATCAAGGTGAAATAATATCTGTATATTTCTGAGATGAGGTATTGTAACTATTTACAATATTTACATTGTTCAGACTGTTGACCCAATCTTTATTGTAACACTCACACATTTTGCCATTGTACATGTTAAACATCATTAAGTGATAGGTTTTTGAATTTCGAACTGAGGAAAAAAATATCAATCTGTATATTGAGATTTCTGAAGATTGGTTCAATAACATTTGTGTAGGGAATAAACATGGGAAGAATGTCCACACCAATATTATCAAACCAATCTTCAGAAACACCAACATACAGATTGACTATTCTGGGTTTGGTTTGAAATTTTAAAAAAACAAAAAAAACCTGAAAAGGCTGGAGTCTATAATGGCCAAACCATTGTGAGTGTGATGATAAAAATAGGAGCAACAAAGATGGAGACAACAGTTTGAACAATGCAAATAGTGGAAATGATGTCTATAACCAATTTATTCATATAGACAATCTCCCTTTAAGCAATAATATGCAGAAATTTAATAATCAAAATTTGTGACCATGGAAATGGTATTTACTAAGCCATGGAAATGGTATTAAGCTTATCTTTGTACTACACAAGGCCCAATAAACTGAAATTAAAAACAGAAAGATTGTGCTGCCCCAAACTTTCAAGTAGGTAGGGCCTGTCCATCTTAAAAATCAACATGCAAAATACTGAAATTTACCTGAGCTTCAATACCAACATCTGAGTGGTGGTGGGGAAGTGAGAGAAATATATAACTACATCAGCCATCAAGAAAATTTAGATAATTGTATGTACTCGCTTCTACATAAATATTCACTTGTATAGTTTTATGTGTGTATGTATATATATAAAAAAGTGTGCATAAAAATAATTTTTAAAATATACACATAATAGTATACACAGACATAATAATTAATCATTTTAGTTATTATGATTATTATTATTCATGCTCTATCCCTTGGATACTGAGCAGTATAATTGCAAAGACTGCTTACCTAAAAAATATCTTCTAGAAATAGCCTGATCAACCGACTTTTGGGGAAACAATCTTTACACACACACACATATATTACATACACATATATATATTGAACAGTGAGTATTAGTAATAACAAAATAGTGCTAAAATTTATGCTAATAAAAAATATACATTTTGTTTCCAACCCATTTTGGATGAATATAATGTGCATGAAAATCAGAGCTGTATGAAATGTTGGGGAACAAAATGTATATATATGTGTGTGTATGTGAAAATACATACACACACAAAATAAAATAGAAGAAATGTATCAGGTTTATATACAGAAAAAAATGCTAAAATTAAAATGTTTAAAATAAATTTTTGCCAAATGATAGCAAAGAAATAAGGAGTGTGACAAATATAACCATGGCTTCTATTTGCAAATTATTTACAATGAAATGTGCAGTAATTGACTAGACTATTTTCCTGAATTTTTCCTGGTAAATTATTAAAATTTTATTATCATTAAAAAATGCAAACAGATATACAAGTGTAAGTAAGTAAATAAGATATACAAAATGTAAGTAGAAAATAAGTGTAAGAGATAAAAAGATATAGTAAATGAGAAAAGCAGAAATAAAAAAATGAAAACAAATAAAACAAAAAAGACAAAGAAGAAAATGTAATTGATATCTGTTTAAAATATTTCTCCAGGCAGAAATAAGAAGAAAAAATAACTGATTAATTAATTGATTAAAGAATTAAAAAGAAAAAAATACCTTTGACTGATTTCAGTTGGTCGCCAACCATCTGCTTGGCAATAAATGCCGCCATTGTGGTTCTTTTTTTGTAGACAAGAAGCTTATATCACACAATTAGAAGGGGAGTAAGTTGTGTTTGGGGGTCAAATTAGCAAAAGATTCCGGATATATCTGAAATTAAAGAAAAAATATACAAGATTTAGTGAAATATTTTACAGAATTTCATATAATATTCCCTAAACATGCTCCAATTAAACATTATGCATACACACATTTCTGGTTTCTTGCATTCCAGTTTACTTTGAACTTAAAAAAATTAAATGCATGGTTAGTTGTTATCTTCTGTCTTTAATTCCTGTTCTTTTATTGGGTTCTCTCTTTAACATTTTTCTTTTTCTTGTATTCTTTCATACTCAGTAACTCTTGCATCATAGTGGCTTTATTGCCTGGCCTTGGGGGTTAAATGATGAAAGAAAAAAAAACAAAAATACACATGCACACATAAAATTGAGACATTCTGAAAAACAATGTGAATTTTGACTTGGGTACAACATGTGCATGTTGTGGGTAGTAGATATTCTGATAAAATGTTTGGCATCTTTGGCTGTCTTTTGACATAGTAACAAACATGCCAGTACACCATCTATGAAATTTAAATGTTGATGCAAGCTGTGATAAGGAGGTTCAGTATGTAGAAAGAATCCAATGTAAGCAGACATGCCATAGAGATGCACCTTTCTTTTGTTCAATTAGACCCATTTGAAAAGAGTTGAATTGTGGCCCTTCACTAGGGTAGATGGCCATTTTGGAGAATTGTTGTGCATGTCATATGTGATGTAACAATGATGATAATGAACAGTCATACATGCAGAGACCAAGTTCTACATTCTACAAATGCATACCAAACTCAACACATTGTAAGAGCAGCTGTGACTAACCAGATGATACCCACAGTACAAATCAGAGAAAATGTCACTTCAGGTATGTTTTTACAAATTGGATCAGTGGAATGCATTTTCTTGCAGTAACATTTCCAGTGTTATTACAAAACCATCAGTCATCTCTCCAATGTTGTCATAAAGGGGTCAAGTAGGTTCTGCCTTCATGCGTGTGATAACCATTTACATGTGGGACAGAAAAGTGAAAGTAACACCTTCCAGAGTTTATTCCCCCATGACAGGATGAACACTTGGCATCATGGCATTGGTTGTCATAAATTACAATTTAGTGTTTGCGGACGTAATGTTGAATAGTGTCTTGTATGTCTAGAAGATTGCTCAACTTAATCTGCTGCAATTTCTGCAGCAGGTAATGTACTCTTTCAGCAAGATTATACATGCCACAAGATATTCAACAACTTTCTTGACCTCCAGGCCTGTTCCCTATTAACATATACTCAATATGATCAGCGGATATCTGACTCTTTCAGTTTCTCCACATACAAATTTCCTACATTGCGTCAGCAGTTTCAACTGGTGTAGAATTGTGTATTGCAGTATAGAACTTGCAATAGTTTATGTGCAAGAGTGCAGAGACTGGTGAGAAAACTGAGGGAACATATACAGTATATTAATATGGTATCCAAGTATGGTACATACATCCTTTATTTTGCAACCAATGCATGTATATGTGATTCTATTTATTGTACTCCAAATAAATTAATTGTACATTTAATCTTGAATCAATTGAAATACATATCCAAGTTGTAATTTTATTTTATGGCAGTAAATATTTCAAAATCCATTTCAAAAGTATTTTTATAAGATGTTAACAAAGAGAAGAGAGAAGCAAATGTTACATACCAAGTATGGCATATACATTTATGAATTATTCATTTTATCATAAAATATAAAGTTTTAGGTTTTGGTTAGTGAAAGTTTACAGGTTGATTGTTATATTTTAGATTTATTTACAATTCAAAATGGCCACCTTTTGCTTTCACCATAGCCTTTAATCTCTTCCCAATTGAAGTGCATCTTCACTCAAATTGTACAATGATATAAGAGCTTCTTTCATATCTGGCACATTTGAGTATGGGATATGAGAATCATTTCTCTCCAATATAGGTCATATCACAAAGTCTATAGGATTAATATCAGGTATTGATGGAGGCCAAAATCCACAGAAATATCTGTTGCATCCATTTTGCATCAAATTGGTTGTATGTGACGGTGTTCAGTCTTGAATGAGGACATAGTGACTTCCAAATATGGCTGGAGGACAGGGAAAAACATATCACTCCAACATTTGATGTTAAAGTCTGTTATTCACTTTCAATTCTTCAATGAACATCAAGTGTGATTAGTGACCTATCCCAAACATCTGACTCTTTTGCAGTCTCTGTCTTCATGCTTCTTCATGGATATCTCTTCACCCTCTTCTTGATTGATTCAATGACTCTCCTCATATGAACTGAATGGTTTCTTCCTGGAATTGGATTTGGTGAGTTTTTTTGCTCCTCTTGAAATTTTTTTCATGTATTTAAAACTGTTTTCCTGCAAACATTCAACTCCTTATCAATTCACATTTCTTCATATCAGTGACTTTTCATGTGATAATTTGGTCATGTTTTTTTTAGCCAACATATTTAATTAAACTGTAAAAGAGGCTTATTGCTTTTAGAAAAGAAGAAAATGGATGAAGTCATTAACCACAAAATTATAAAAAGAATAAAACTTAAAATGTATCATAATGTTTACAAACTTTTTCATGAAATAAACTTTGGGTTGGTTTCTAATCAAGCCAAATTGCGTAGATTTTAATTGCATTAAAAAAAGTAAAAGTTTAAATGTCAAACAAAAAAAAGGCAACAAGTGAAAATAAATTCACACAAGGAGAAACAAAAACATGAACAAACACACATTGCAGTGACTATTTCTCTGTAACAGCATAAACATATGTGGTCATTAATATTACATCCACACATAGTATGTAAAAGAGCAAGAAACATCTATTATTTATTGGTCACCAGGAATCAGCCACAACATAGATTTGCTTATAACTTCCATCTTGGTAAACTAAGATGCCATTTATCATAAACCAAATTCTATACATATGCATGATTGTCCATTATTCTGACCATAAAGTGAAGAGGACTGGATTGTGCTTAATTTTTATCTGAATCATTTAATAAATGCAGTTTTGGCTTGTGATTTTAAACTCCTTTTTACATATTAGTCTCAACCACAGACATAAACGTTTATTTTTGGTCATCATGTTCCAAATATGGTTACATATATAGACAAGCAAAAAGCTAACATTCAGTTCTCATGTATAATATGTACAACTTTCAGATTTAAAAATCGAAAAGTGTGTATTATGCATAAATAATTAGGGGATATTTTAAGCTAAGAAATGATAGCTTTCTGAAGTTTATTACCTTGAATATTTTCAACCTTACATAATACTATAAGATGACTAATTATCATCAGGGAAGACATTTTGAGGTGAAAATCCTCTGTGCAACAAAATTTTGACTGTTTTTTGTCTTTGGTCAATAAGTGTTATTTCTTAATTGCTAGAAGACAAAAGAAATGACTATTATTCCCTTCAAACTTTGCTTTTGTGACCTGGACAGAGGGTAAAATAAAGCCATAAAATTCACACCCACAAATTTGGAGGGAACCAATTGACAACTCTAGCAATTGCTTCTACTGCATAGTGGACCCTTCCAAATGTCGAGTTAGCAAGAATATACCTACTATCATATATCCAGATCTTCTGTCATCCATCATCCCAGTGCCACATTGCTCTGAGCTCCCCACACCCACTCTTTCAAAGAGAGAGCAGCCATCTTCAGAAGAGAACAGCAATTCAAAAGAGGATCAAGTCATTGATCCAGATTACAGAGGCTCAGCTGAGAAGAGAAACCCACAATACCCAAACCAAAAAAGACCTCAATGACTTGATCAGAGATTTTGATCTCACAAAGTCCAATATGTTGTGATTTAAGCAGTAGAATTTTTTTGAGATGAAAGTCACAGATCAGAGAAAGTGTCAACAATATTTTTCAAGCTTTTTCACTGGTCAAGATGGACTTTGCTTCTGCCACAATGTGATCCGTCTGTTTGAGGCAATTGAAATTGCCTGTAACCCCAGCAAGTGGCGCGTATTCATAGACATAATGGGAACATGTATCTATCTCTTCTTCTGGCTCGTTCAGTACAGCTCAAAGAGATATACAGCAGTGTCAAGATCTTGCTAGATGCCTTGAACTATGAAAAGTACAGTTGGGAGGTTATTGAAAATTTCAAAATGGTAGCTTCCCTGATGGGTCAATGAGGAAGATGTTTCCATGTTATCTTTGCCTTTGGGACAGCAAGGACTCCATGGCACACTACCATAGGCAGGACTGACTAAAGCAAACAGAGTTCAGAAACAGCATCAAATGGGAGGCACTGTTTGACCCCCAGAAAGTATTGTTTTCTCCACATCACTTAAAATTGGGTCATTTGAAACAATTTGTTACAGCTCTAGATAAGGGGTCTGTAACCTTTAAGTACCTTCAAGACTTCTTCCCTAAGCTGTCTGCACTAAAAGTCAAAGCTGGTGTCTTTGTTGGACCACTAATAAAGATCATAAAGTGCAAGGAATTCCCTAAGAAGCTCACTAGGATGGAGAAATCAGCATGGAACTGCTTTGTCACAGTGGTTAGGGGCTTCCTGGGGAATCACAACAATGAAAACTATGTGGAGCTTGTTGAAACCCTGCTGAAGAACTATGGCAAAAGGGTCTGCAGTATGTCCCTCAAAGTTTATATTCTTGATGCTCATCTTGGTAAATTCAAGGAGAACATGGTGGTGTACTCAGAGGTGTAAGGTGACTGCTTCCACCAGGATATACTAGACTTTGAATGTAGCTACCAAGGATTGTATAATGAAAGCATGATGGGAGACTATATATTTGGGAACTGATTCATGAAAGTAATTTACAGTATAAGTGTAGATTGCAAAAAATTACTCAGTTCTAAATTTTTTTTGATCTCTCATGTGTTCTAGAATAAATAAATGCTACTTTTGAATCATATGTCGTTTTGTTTCTACTTCATATGGATGAGAATGTTCATTTGCCAGT